CCCTCCCACCTTGTCTGTGCCCTCATCTCCATCTCTGCGGTGCTGCAGCAGCGACTTCTTGGCCACTGCCCTTCCCTCCACTTTGCCCCTTCCTGTTCTGTCCATCCTCCACCATCCCCAGGGCCCAACTCTTAAAAAGGCACTTGAACTGTACATGTCACCCTTTGTCTGAAATCTGCCGATGGCTTCCCACTGCTTTTGGGGTGAAGTCCCAGGTCCTCACTCTGGCCCCCTCGCTTGTCCTGGGGGCCTGCCCACTAACCACCTTAGCCCAGTCTACCCCCTCACTCCCTGGGCTGGGCCACCCTGGCCTCTCGGTTCCTGGGGGGCCAAGCCACCCCCTGCCACGGGGCCTTCTCCTTGACTCTGCCCTTTTCCAGAGTTTCCTCCTGCTGTCCTATTTTTGTCCCTCTGCCCATATTCACCTTAGCTCACTTGTCACTTCCTCTGAGAAGCCCTTCCTGATTCCTTCAGACTAACCAGGTCTCCGTACTGTGTTCTCAAGGCCCGGTTGTGTTTTCACCTTCACAGCGATGGTCTGGTTACCATCCCGTCTCTTTCCTTGGTGTGACTGTAGCCCTTGCCAGAGCCTGGTGCGTGCTGAGTGTTAACAAACGTTTGTTGAATGGACGGGGGGCCAGCAGGGAGGCACTTGCTCTCACCCGTCCCCGCTGGCCAGTCCTGGCCACCCCTGAGCTGGGAGGCGGCTCTGAGGGAGGGACTCACCACACATACTCTTGCCCTGGGGTGGCTGTACCCACTTGTAGGCCCTGCACCTCCCTCCGAGGTCTGGGAGGCAGGGAGGAGCGCTTTGTGTTCCTGACTCACAGAAGCCCCCGGGAGGGGCTTCCGGCCCTCCTGCCTCCCTCAAAGGCACCTTCAGCCCTTGCTTCGCCTCTCTCTCCCCGCACCACTTGGGCGCTTGCTCTGGTGCCCTTCCTCCAACCACTGTTCTGTCTGTGGCCACATTCCTCCAAGCAGACAGTAGGCTGCTAGACCCCTTTAAAGGGGAAAAAAGAAACCCTTGTTGAACCCCAGTTGGCCCTGAATGATTTTTTTGTTATATTGTTATTCAAATACATGCAAATATAAGACTAAGTGTAATAAACCCCTTACACTTATATCACTTATATCCCGCGAACAACTATAAAACCAAAACAAAATCACAAGTGGAATAAAAATGAAGCTATGAAACAATAAAATTTAAATTAACAGCATTAATTTAATGTGATGGGTGATGTTGTTTTGCTGGAACCAAATTGCCCTCAATATGAATGTGGCCTCTTACTGGGCGGGCTCTTTTGAGTTCTCTGCATCTGTACCCAGGGAGCCCTGCTCCCCACTAGCTCACCCCATTTGGGTCACTGAAGAGCCCTTCTTTGCCCTTTGTTTGGTGTGAGCATGTCTCTCACCTCCCATGCCCGCCTTGCTCCGTCCTCATTATCTAGTGACCATTCATGTAGCACCAGAGTCTGTGGAAGCCCTGATACCATGCAGAGAATGTGACTGTAAAGTCATTATATCCAAGTGACTGAGGACGTGCATCAGGATTTTAGATAATCATCTACATGAAAACCCAAATTAAATGCCTCCGCCCCTCCCTGGGACTCCATAAGACCTCAGCTTGGGTAACCGTGGCCTACAGAACACAGCCCAGATTCCCTAGCGTGGCGTTCAAGGATTCCCCATCCAGTCCTGCTGGGCCCTCCTGTCCTGTCTCTGGCTGTCCTTCCCCATTCCCAGACACTGCATTTGTATCATCATCAGTGATCTGAGCACTCTTACCCCCCATCCCATCTCTGTCCCATCGCCCTGATATCTTTCTTTCCAGTACCATCTGCAGTTGTTAATTGACTGCTCCCCCACCCTGACCAGGTCATAAGCTCCATAAGAACAGGGACCCTGTCTATCTCACTTACATCTGTGTCTCCAACATGTAGAATAGGACCTGCCATGTAGTAGGTTCTCAGTATGACTTTGAACAACTTACTATTCATGGGCTTCCTCAAGCCACAGTGCCTTTGCACCTGCTCTTCTCTTTTTTTGGCAGTGGCCACCACTCTCCTGGGCCTGTGAAGGCTCCTCGCCTCTCATGGGCGCAGTTGATTCTCAGTCTTCTGGTCTCCTGTGACCCTTTGTATAGACTGAGTGTGGCCCAGATCCTACGTGTGAGACTTTGCCTGTGATTGAATCTGTCCCCCCCAGTGGACAAGAGCCTGATAACGTTTCCTTCTGTATCTCCAGTGCCATACCCCCAGGGAGACAGTTTCCTTTTCACAGTGAGTGCGTGCTTGGGTTCTTCTTGGCACCTTCCCCACCCCCTGAGGCTGAGTAGGGTCTTTCTCTGCCCAGATAAGGTGTACCTCGGCCCCCCGCGCCTCTTCCAGGAGCTGCAGGACCTGCAGAAGGACCTGGCTGTGGTGGAGCAGATCACCCTCCTGATCAGCACGCTGCACGGCACCTACCAGGTACACTGCCCAGCCTTGGCAGGAGAGTGTGGGAGGGCTCCTCTCTGGGCTGGTCCCCCCATGGGCCCCGGCCTCTGAGCTCCCACGAGCAGAGTCCTGGCTGAAGCTCCTGTCGCACCTGAAAGTCTGGTGTGTGGCCTCTGTTTGGGCTGAAGCTCTGATGTAGGTTGAATGGGGCCTGGCTGTGGGCATATTTTGGTTCCCTGTCCAGTGTCCAGTTGGTCTTTATAGCCCCTTTGTGGGGCTCACCCCTGGTTGGGGAGGAGGCTGGGATACTGTGTCCCTTTCAAAGAAGGGGTGCGGGGGTGGTCTGAACCAAGGCCTGGAGCCTGGGGAGTCCTTGTGGCCAAGTGAGCTGCCCAGGTTGAGCTCCTGCCCTGAGCCCCGGCTCCCCTCCCCCAAGGCTCCCCAACAGCGGGATCTAGGGTGGCTCTCTGGGAGCCAGCGGGCTGTGGGGTGACCTCCTTGGCCTCCTTGACCCTAGAACCTGAACATGACTGTGGCTCAAGACTGGTGCCTGGCCCTGCAGAGGCTCATGCGGGTGAAGGAGGAGGAGATCCACTCAGCCAACAAGTGCCGCCTTAGGCTACTGCTTCCAGGGAAACCGGACAAGTGAGAGGAGGAGGAGCCCCGGGAGCACGGCCGTGGTGGGAGGGGGCGTGGCCTGGAGCGGGTGTTCACGGTCACATGGACGAATGAACGAATGAGTTATGAATGAATAACAAATGACAGTTTGCACCTGGGGTGAGCCTGTGGTCTGTTAGGATACTTGGACACTCTGCCCTTGGTCGGTAGACTGTGCATTCCCCTGGGACCAGGCTCTGGGCGTCCTCTCCTGGACCCAGCCCCCCGACCCTCCAGTGCCCACGCAGGAGTTTGTGCTCGGTAGACCCGCAGCTGATGTTTGTGGAGTTGATGCCAAATTGGGGAAAGGCATCTGTCTGATCCCCGCTTGACAGGTGAGGAAGGTGAGGCTCAGAAGAAGCAGACAGAGCTGGGTTCTAACTTCGAGGCTGAGGCTGGCACAGTGAGAGGCTCAAAGCGCAGGTTCTGACATCCTGGGTGTGAGGGGGCAGTTAGGGGACAGTGGCTGCAGGAAAGGAAGATTGGAATGCTGTTGTTTGAGAGAAGGGCCATGAGGCAGGGCCATGCGCTAGGACGCGGGGCCCAGACTGAGTCAGCAGCTTTGAACTTGAGTCTCAATCCGCCACCGCCCTGCTGTGTGGCCTGGCACTGGCTCACAGCGCCCTGCTGGGTGACTCCCTTCCCTCTCTGTGCCTCTTCCTCCCTATGCGCCATAGAGGGTTAGTGACACTGGTCTGCCCACCTCCTGGGCTGGGATGGACCACAGGCTGGGGGGAACAGGCCCCAGAGAACAATGAAGAGGCCCCCACTGCTCCAAGGTGAGATGACTGTGTGGTGGCAATGGTGACCTCCGGCTGCCCCAAGCCTGTGCACAGTCCTGTTCATTCAGTCATTCATTCATTCATGTGCCCAATCAGCAAATGTTTACTGAGCAACTGCTCTGGGCCGGGAATAGGCCTGAGTGAGAGGCTCCCGGTCAGGCATGTGCAGGTGTCTGACAAGAACTGCAGAAGGCTGTCCAAGTTGGGCCCTGGGGGGCCTCTCAAGTTGCAGCCTGTGGAGGGCCAGACCCTTTAGGCACCCAGACCAGGGCACCTGGGGCTGGGCTGGGGGGTGTGACCTGGTCGCTCTGGGGAGTTACCCTTCCTGGGGTCATGGTGGGTGAGGGACTCCTCCCCCAGGGGACTGAGGCTTTGCCAGGCCACCAGCCTCTCTGGCCACGCTTTGATGCTCTGCTCAGACCTCACTCTGTCTCCAGGGCTCGCGGCTGGGGGAAGAGCTGGGTGCTTCCCCGGGGAGCCAGACCCTGTTCCCGCACTCAGTTCCTTGTCCTCTCTCCGCAGGTCCGGCCGCCCCATCAGCTTCATGGTGGTCTTCATCACACCCAACCCCTTGAGCAAGATCTCCTGGGTCAACAGGTTGCACTTGGCCAAGATTGGACTCCGTGAGTAAAGCCCTGGAGTCTGGGGTCAGGGGTGGGGAGAGGGGAGGTTTGCTGTGTGTATGTGTGAGTACGTGGGGGATGTCCAGGCTCAAGGGGGTGGAAGCTTCTGAGTGGAGGGAGGTGGTGCAGCAGAGGAACAGCTGAGGCCAGAGGCTCTGCTTAGTGACCTTGGACACCTCACTTCCTCTCTCTGAGCCTCAGTTCCTCCATGTGTAAAATGTGGGAGTTGCCAGAAAATAAATTAGTGGTTGCCAGGAACCTGGGAGGAGGGGGGAAAGGAGAGTGACTGCTAAGGGGACTGCTAAGTGACTGTGGGGGTGATGAAAATGTACTCAAATTAGAGAGTGCTGATGGCTGCCCAACTCTGCGAATATACTAGAAACCAGTGAAATGTACTTTCTAAAACGATGGGTTTTATGGTAGCTCAGTTATATCTCAGTAAAACTGCTATTAAAGGACGATGCAGATTAGAGTAAACTTACTGTCAATGAAGTCTCTTTTTTATATACTTTTTTTTGTTGATGTACAGTCAGTTTACAGTGTTGTGTCAATTTCTGGTGCATAACACAATGCTTCCGTCACACATGAACATACATATATTCATTTTCATATTCTTTTTCACCGTAAGCTACTGCAAGATATTGAATATAGTTCCCTGTGCTGTACAGTATGAACTTGTTGTTTATCTGTTTCATGTATATTAGTATCTGTAAATTTCAAACTCCTAATTTGTCTCTTCCATCTTCTTCCCCTCCAGTACCTATACGTTTGTTTTCTACCTGGGAATCTGTTTCTGCTTTGTAAATAAGTTTGTTTGTCTTTTTTTTTTTTTTTAGATTCCATGTATAGGTGATATCATATGGTATTTTTCTTTCCCTTTTTGGCTTGATTCAATGAATTTTCTCTTTATAATTTTTTCTCCTATGCACCCCCTAATAATAATATAGGTAAATAACGGACATTTATGTTTACAGAGTGCTTCCTGTCTTATAAACATTTTTCTAAGCATTTAACCCACCTCTCTTTCATTTCACATTCACAATTACTCTAAGAGGTAATCTGTTGTGAATCCCTTTATACAATTGAGGGTTCTGAGGCCCAGAGAGGTGCAGTGACTTGCCTGAGCTCACACAGTAGAAAGGGGCAGAGTCAGCAGTCAGAACCTGGGTAGTCGGCCCCCAGAACCCACTCTCGGTTCCTGTCCATTCTGCTTCCTCAGGTTGATGAGCTTCTGCCTGCCAAACCACATTTGTTAAGTTATAATTACTTATTTGTGCTTTTTTATAAAAATTGACAAAAAGCCTAGTTTCTTGCCGATCAGAGCTATTATTTGCTGTGACATGCTAGAATTCCCATTTGCTGATTCCGGTCAATAGCAGTGATATTTTGGGGTTTCGTTTTATTTTTTGTTTTTGTTTCTGGCGTGATCCTTCCCTAGATAAGTATGCATTTCCAATAGATTTTAAACCATTTCTGGAAAGGAGTCAAGACCTTCATCGATGGCTTTCACCAATTAAAAAGCCTATTTATTGAGTCTCTACAGTAATTTTAGGCATCAGGGAAAAGAACAGTGACAAAAACAGAAAGGTCCCTGCTCTCAAGGAACGTACAATTTACGAGGGGCAGGCAGAGGTTACACAAGGAGCAAATCAACAGTGGGGGGGTGCTGTCAGCGGGGTAGAGCTGGCCATGTGACTGGCACTGGCCGGGGGGGTCTGGCCTGTTGTCAGGGAGGGCTCTGAGGAGGTGACATCTGAAGCCCTGCAGAGATCTGGGCAAAGTGATCCAGGCTTTGGAACAGCAAGTGCAAAGGTCCTGAGGTTGCCAGAGCTGGTGAATGGGGGGAGAAGGAGGCATGTGGAAGCGGGGAGCAGGTTTTCCAGAAAGCCAGGGTGAGGTGTGTGGACCTTGTCCTGGACGTGTTGGGGTGCTGTTCGTTGCAGCGCTGAGAGCCGGACAACAGCATAACCTGACTTCTATTTAAGTGGATCATTCTGGCAGCTGTGCAGTGAGGGCACATGGAGGTTGGGGAGGGAAAGGGGCGAAGGTTGTAGCTTTGGAGGGGCCAGTTTCAGAGGCTTCTGCTCAGCCAGCCCCTTCTTGGATCTGGTATTGACATTGTACAGGCCTCCACTGGATGTTTCTGGGTGACCAGGAGGCCTGCGGACGGCGGAGGAAGGGTTTTAAGCAGAGGCTGCCCCTGCCCTGGCAGAGGACTGTGGGAATTCTGGCCGAGGAAAGATGAAGGTGGGATGTCTGCTGGGCCCCCAGCTGCATACCCCCCACCACCTCTCAGAGCGGAGCATCTTGGGCAGGTGACCGAGTCCTGTTTGTACACCTGCTCTAAAGGTTTGAACCCCTAATGCTTTGCTGAGTGGGCCTTGGTGTTGGCGGGAGAGGAGCGGACTGTAGTGAGCATCCCCGTTCTCTGTGAAGACGCTCAGCTGTCTTATCCCCACGGTTTCACTGCAGCAAAAGTTTTAATGGAGGAGAGTCATTTGAAATCTTATTTGAATGCTTGGGTTCCCCTGGGGCTTGAATAATTTGTTTCTTTTATTTTGCCAGTTTGTTTTTTTATCTGCAGTGCCTGGTACAGGGGGGAGGGTGGGGAAAATAATCTGAACCCGTTAGAAATAGAATATGTTAAAAACATTTATTCACCAAGGCTGTGAGTCCTTTAATTATCTTTTTTTTTTCTGTATCCTCCTCTCTCCCTGATGACAGCGTGCTGAGATCATCGTGCGCTGAAGAAGAGAGGGCTGGAGTCAGGGCGCCTGGGGTCTGGGATGGCCAGGGGTCAGTTCTACCCTTTGAAAGGGCAGGAGTCCTGGGGAATCTGGGGACCTAGTTTACGTCCCAGCGAGGCCACTGCCATGAGGTGCAGCCTGAGAAAGGCAGGGCCCCTCCCGTCACTTGGCCGTGAGTTCCATGGGCATTTCCCCCGTTGCATTTTGGCATCTCAGCACCACGAGAAATGGAACCAGACCTCGTGGGTTCAGTTCCCAGCTCTGCTGCTTGTCAGCTCCTTGCTCTCTGGCTAAGGAATTCGCCTCCAGATGTTTTGGATTCTCCATCAGAAAATAGGGGTAATGCCATCACCCTCCTCACAGGGCTTGTGCAAAACATACGAGGAGATGGTGCCTGGGGGATGCCTGGCACATGGGAGATGCTTCTAGGACGGGGGTGTCTGCATCTGCAT